TGCTAATGAAGGTGCCGGCGTTATCTTAACTTTAGAATGTTTTAGATTTTTAACGGAATTTGGCTTCGTAATCCGACCATTTTGCACCTTTTCAGGTTTGCATAAATGTCTTTTACCTTTCGCCTTGTCGAAACTGCCTGCTTTAGAGCTTGTGATAAGATTACCATTTACCCGTTTTAACTTCTTGTGTAAATTAGTCTGTACCGGCGAACCGTCACCGACTGCATCCTTGACTCCATTCAATGAAACCTTAGAGCGGAACTTCATCGCATCTGCGAGATTCTCCCACGATGTAGGCACAAAAAATTTTGGCATCATGTGAACGTTAATAAAACCCAATTTATCCAAAACTCACTATTTTGCTTTTTTATCGAGCCGTAATTGTAAAAAACACAAGAATATTAAAAATAATAAACAACTGATCTACTGCACGTGGACTGTCAAATTTGACACGCACAGCTGACTGCATGAATTGTAATAGAAGTGTTAACGAAAAGAGTGTTCGCGCGGGACAACTTGTACAATCTTATAGAAGTTATTGCAAATTCTCGTTCGTTTACGCAGAGCTTCCAAAATTTGCACAGAGGGAGCGCAATTTTGACATTTGATTAGGAAAGGAAGTTGTAGAAGGTTTCCCGACGTTGCGGCTTGAGCAGCTCATGCCTGAAAGATGATTTAGCGTAATTATGGGCGTGTGCCAATTAAAACAAAAGTATTCTGGATAGTAAAATTTTTGACAGCTATGAAATGTTTATCCAGCAGGGCTATTGAAAAATTTGGCAGCATTAGCTTTGTTTCTTTACTTTTCTAGCCGATAATTATCAGGAAAAAGAGGAAAGGGATCATTGATAGAATTACGGGCGATATAAAGTAATAGTTAAGAAACGCAAACTAACAGAAAATAGCAAGTAACTAGCTGGTCGGTGAATTTGACATTCGAAAATAGGCAATGGCAAACCTCCGAGTGTATTTCTGCCATGAAAAACAGCTTCTCATAAAAATACAATCGTACGTACCCTCCGCTTTGTGTGACAACAGCTGCGTTTTCGTATTCTCCAGCAAAAAATATCCAGTAACTTGCCAGTAACCAAATTTCGGAGAGTAAGCCAATATTTACTCCCAATGAGTGAAATATGCAAGAAAGTACGAAAACGCAAAACCAGCAAGAAGTTGCTAGTTTTATGAACAGCTGTTTAATTTGTTATTTTCCGATGCAATTTTCTTAGAAAACTAGTATTTTCCATCTTATTATATATTTAAATGGGTTTATTTTGAATTACATTAAGCATCATGCCATCGGCTGTTTTTCTTACTAGCAAATAGTTTCTAGTAAAAATTTATCCAGTAAAAATCCAGTAAAACTTGCAAGTTCAGCTGTCATTTTGGCTCTCTCAATTTCCCCTCTTTTGCTAGTTTCTTGCAAGTTTTTGCGTACGAAAACGACATCCAGTAAAAAATCCAGTAAAATTAGTACTGGATTTACTGGATAGTGCGTACGCGAACAGGGCTAACATCAAGGCGCACGCCACAAATTGGAGGAGAAGCTCGGCCAAATACTAACGTATGTGTAAGCGCCAATCTAAAAAAAAAAAAAAAAATAGGTATACTTGCCCTCACATTTGTAGATGATTTTTATAGAAAAAAAAATTAATAAGCGTAAGGAACAATTAACCAGGGAAAATTGAGGGTATATCATGATACAAAACATAAGGTAGTTTCATTTAATGACATTCGTTGTTGTTGCTAACCATTTGACTTTTAATAACATTATGACATTTCATCAAATTCATGCTACCTGATCACTAGAAGAAATATTTTTTTTTTTAAGCACAAGATTTTATCAGTACATTCAAAGATGTGGAATATGATGAACTAGAAAATTATGCCGGCTACATGACTTCGAAACTGAGGTTGACGACTA